GGGGGGGGCGACGCGATGCGGAGACGCGGCACCGCATCCCGGTCCCTGCGCGGGAGCCGGCAGCAGCGCAGCTCCCTTCTCCAGCGCTGCTGCCGGGGGCTTTACACGGCTTTTTTTTTTTTTGGTCATTTACAGCTTATTTCTCAAAGTGTTCTGGGAATCTGTAAACACTGAACCTGGGTCTGGAGCATCACCCCTGGGAGCTTCCCGTTCAGGGCAGGACCCAGCGCCGGCTCTTTGGGACGCGCCGAGGCTGGTGGCAGGGGCGGAGGGGCAGATCTGTACCTGGCTGCTGCGCAGCGCAGAAGGCAGAAGCAGCCCTTGCCCTCCCTCCCACCCACCGCCCCTGCAAGGCAGTGAAAAAAAGCTGGAAGGCACTGGGTGGTGGGGAAGGCAGGCAGGACCCTCACGTGGTCCCCGCGGAAAAGGAGGGGCTGGGTGGGTGCGGAGGGGACCAGGGCACCGACGCGGCCAGGGATGGGATATCTGCAAGGTGCGGATGGGGATTGACTCTTCCCCTTGGTCTTCTCCATGCTGGGGCTTCCCCACGGGATGGCTGCCATCCCTCCATCCCCCTCGGGGACAGGGACCTCCAGTTCCCGCTGGCTGCAGCGAGGAGGTGCCGCCGTGCTCAGGCTGTTCCTCTGATCACTTCCAGTACTGCAGGGTGCTCAGTTGGCTCATTTAAGGGTTGCTGGGTTAATTAGTAGGATACATCTCAGTAGGAAAACGGTCGAATCGGACAGCGTGGGGACCGGAGAGGCGTGCTGTGCCGAGGTATCCGAGACGCTGCTTTGCAAAAGGCGAAGAGACAAGACTCTGTTAGGGACCTCACTGGTGCGACGGCATCTTTGCTGGGGCAGAGGCTGCCGGGCTGCCGAAACCTCGGCAGAGCCGTGCCCTTGTACCGCAAGGAGATGCACCGGGGGTCTCCGCGGGGGGCATTTAACCCCAGGGGAAGGAGCCTGGGCAGGAACTTATGCTTTTGCAGAAACCTTTGGCTCCAAAAAGCAAGTTTTTTGGGCCGAGTTTCTGGGGTGAGTGGGTGCAAGTCCATGTGCAGGAACGCTCTCGGCTCAGGCATGGAGCAGGGATGCCCAGTTTCCCTGTGGGGCGGTTGGGCACGCAAGCCCTCTCGCACCATCCCTGCCGCTCGCTGGAGCACATGCCATGGCTAATAGCTGCTTTTTTCTGCCTGATTTAGACTAAGCCTGGAGCCTCGAAGCTCCCCAGCAATTTTCCCTTGCACTGACTCTCAAGTATATAATCAAAACAATTTGGGGGGTGCTGGTTGGGTGCCAAGAGGCGGACACAACCACGGCTGTGTAAAGCCTTCCTGCCTGGGTTTTTGCAGAGATCTGAAGCTCAAATCCCTTGAGAAGTGCAGGAAGGGTTCTGGAGGAGGCAGGGAAGGCAGGGCTGGGCAGGGGCGCGCTGGGAGGGCGGCTGGTGCTCCCGTCCCCATCTAACGCGCTCGTAGGTGGGGGAGTCTGGCAAAGCAGTCCCTCTCGCTGAAACGCCGATCGGCAAACATACCTGTTGCTACTTGTTCTTCACTCCCTTCTGTTTCTGCCGATATATTTCCTCTGTGAAAGGCCTGCAGTTGGGAGGATGGGAATTTGGGGAGAGAGAGGGCAGAGACACAAGGGAGGGGTGAACGAAGCGGGACAGAATTAAAATCAAGACTACTGTGTGCTCTCCTTTGAGCCCGGAAACTCTGCCCTTCTCAGGTTGGCACAGCCTGACTATTCCTGTGCCATGGCAATCCTCGGCTCGGTCTCTCTGGACCACGGAGCAGCTCCAAGCTGCTCCCACCCGGGACCATCCCCGTGCCGAGCGGGATGAGGCTCAGCACACGCTCGGACTCCCCCTGCGTGCAGAGTGGCCTCGGCTCTCTTTGCATCTCCTCCTCCCTTGCAAACGCAAAAGACCTTTCACTGCTGAAGCACAAGCACTGCTTCTGGGAATAATTCTGGGCTGCTCTGTCCTGGGCTGCTGGGCTATTCTGGTGCAAAATATCAGAGAAGCACATCCAAGGAACTACAAAACACAAGCTCTTCTTGCAGGGTCTCTTCAGATGACACAATAAGTCCTCTCACTGCCTTCCTTATTGTTCTTGTATAGACAGAAACAGGCACCCGAAAGAAAAAAAGATCTAATTTTGATAAAAATAAACACATGCATAAATGTTCCTAGAACTCAGCAAATAGTTTCAGAGAGGAATCTGCCCATTATCAAAACAATTGAAAAACAATCCTCTGTTTTCCTTCTTCCCCGCTGAATTAATTGGAAAAAACATCTCTACTTCTGCAGTTGCCCGAAACCTCGGGAGTTAAAGCTGGTAGAAATAATTAGAAGCTCTCCAGTTTTGCAAAGCTACTCACCCCTCATACAGCAATGCGATTGTGTAGGAAATTGCCACTACAGCTGTCAGCAAAAGGCCAGCTGGGCTTGCATGCCTGTTTTGAAAGAGAAGGAAAAGATCAGGTAAGTACATGGGCTTATGCAAGACCTGGTTTAGAAAGTGAAATGAGACGCTAGGCTACATGAGAGCACTCTCTTGCTCATTAAACAGAAGCAAACAAAAGGGTTTGGTTTTTTGGGGTTTTTTTTTTGTACTTAATGTTAACTGTCTTAGACAGATGTTACTTGGCAAAGACTCTTCCCCAGCCTACTTCGGCGATTTCTTTTAAGTCTGATCCCTGCACGTCTCTGCTAAGAGAGCTTCTGCTTTGATGCTAAGTCCTGAGATTATGAGGCTGTTTAATAGCTGAGCAGCTGCTTACGTACGGCCGTGGCTCCGAGCCAGCGCGCTATAAGGGAAATGCCTGATGCGCACAGAAAGACGGGCCACCCAGGGTGCAGGAGGCACCTGGCAGACGGAGCAGCGTATGGTACCGTATACATCGAAACGGCGGCTGAGCCATGGCAGGGCAATGGAAAGGGATGGCAAGGTCCACGCCTGCCCTGTGAAGGGTGCTGGGGCGGGTGCTGCGTCGGGGCTGGGTGCGTGGGGTGCTGGGGGCTCCGTTCACATTTAAACCCGTTTCAAGATGTTTTAGGAACACGTCCCATCACCTCCCAAGGCCCAGCCGAATGGTGTCCTGCAGCAAGAGGGCACCAGGCACAGCACGGGGGACCGATGCCACCCACCGCACCGCGCTGACTGGTTATGGGCAGGGGTGCTCAAGGGCTGTGGATGCAGTGGGAGCAGCTGCTCCTTTTAGCACCGAGGCCAAAGAATGGGGACCAAAAAATCCCCGTCACCTCCTGCTCTAAAGAGAGATATCAACACAGGCAGCAAACCTGCACCACCCACGCGGGGCCACTTCTTTGATGCTTGGCCCAAAAGTGTCAGAGGCAGACGCCAGCGAAGGCAGTGGGGGCTTTGCTAGGGCACCAGGATTTCAGCGAGTGGGTTACAGTCCCCAAACTGTCCCCAAACCGTCCCCAAACCGAGTGCCGAGACCATCCCATGGTGTGCAAATTCCCCCGGGCGAGAGTGGCCACACCAGCAGCCATTCCCCACTTGCTAACCCAGTGCCCACGAGGGCCCGGCCCCATCTCCCCAGCGAGGAGCGTGGCTGTGTCTGGCTCACCAGAGCAGCCCCCCCAAAATAGCCCTTCTGCATCCTACACCCCTAGCTGATGGCTGCAAGCGTTGCCCTCAGTTAGGACGCTGCTGATTGCCTTCAATCGCTGGTCGCAGCTCAGCCCTGAGGGGGACAAGAGCTGGCTGTCAGCAAAAAAACCCGCCAAAATTTAGCTGGTCCTCGGTGAGGATAAACATCCTGCAAGCCTTGTGCAAGGGGACGAGTCCTGTTGGGAAAACATGCGTTCAGAGGAGAGACCAAACCACCTAAACCTCGCGCTGGGCCTGCCGTCAGGTACTGCCTGGCCACATCAGTTCCTGGAGAGACGCACACAAATCTTCACCTTTTCACTGTTTCCATTTTGCAATAAGTTTTTTCCCTCGTGAGGAAGCATCGGGCAACTTCTTCCACTCCCAGCCCCCTGCTATTACATGCTTAGTCATGTCTCCTCCTTGATTCTTATCAGAGAGAACAAATTTGCATGATTGTTTGTTGACAGCAAGACCTCTAATTGCATCATTTGGCTGCGGCTCCAGCTCTGATTTACACAGCCTGTTGCCATGAGTTAAAACGCTTCCCTACCAAAGATACACAAAGCTGTCCCCAAACAGCTAATGCTCCATTTGTCTTTCAGGAGAAACGAGGCTGCTCGACGCGGGCGATGAGAAGCATCGGGGTGAGTTGTTTCTCTCCTCTTACGAGCTCGACCTACTTATTGGGCAACGGCTCGTCTTGTAGCACGGTTGACAAAGAGTCAGCCAGGAATGTTTTGTGGTCTTGGTAGGACTTTTTTTGGGTAGGCAGTCTGTCCGGCCCCAACCCTTGCCGCAGCTCCTCTGCAAGAGCAATAGCGTGGGCTCGCGTCCTTCCCCGCCGGCCTCGCTGGTCCCGGGTGTTGGACATGGGACACCCGCTTTGCCCTTTCCTCCTCAAGTTCTGGTTTTTGTGGTGATCGGCGGAGGTGCCTTCTCCAGTGTATTTGGTGGACACGTTTTTGGCTGCAGAGCTGCCGTCAGTCAAGCTGGGGATAGCTGCAGTATCCTGCAAGGGAGAAAAGAGCGGCTCTCGCCCCACGCGATGCTTTTAAGGTTGGACTGGAGTCGGAAGGCAAGCTGTTGGGTTCGCTGCCAGGCTCGCTTATGTTATGTGGTATGTGCCCTTACAGATGAAAATGAATCGGTCCTTTGGGCTCTGATGCCACGATACGGTGCGATACATCACCGAGGGAGGACAAATATGCTCTACGTTTTAGGTCTGTCCAAAACCAGATGGCAAACACATTCCTCCGGCATCCCTCCCACTGCCACGGAGCTGGGACGTTAGCTCTGGCCTCTGAGGACAGACACCTAACGTCTTCTGAAAGCCCTGGGACCTCAGAAGAGACCTGGGACTCCCCAAAAAAACCTCAGCAACCTAGGCTGAGATCCCAGGGAAGAGAAACCGTCAAAACCACTGTGTGAAGGGTTGTGCAGAGCTTCCCCAGGGCAGGCGGGCAGTGTCCTGGTGCCACTTTGCAAAGCTCCAGCAATTTGTTAACAGCAATTATTGGTCATGCCTCGCTGCCCTTTATGGTGGCAGCCTTTTAACGAGACAAAGGAGGCAAACACACTGTTGTCTCCAGCCTCTTTGAGCTGCTTTTGCCCAGGATTGTGGTGAAAGACCAAGCAATGTGCACCCGGTGCGAGGTTGCTCTCTCGTGGGGGTGAAGAAGGGATTTCTGCGACAGAAACAGCTCAGGAGGGTTCAGGGGGGTCTGCAAAGGTTCTAGGCAATAGTTTGATGCTGATCTTAAACAAATAAAAATCTCGTTGTCATTCTTCCTGGTCAAATTCCTCCTTCTGCCCTGTTGTGGGGGTGGTGGTGCCCGTGGTCTCCAGCTGTGGTGCGGTATGGGGGTGCTCAACCTGCCCCAGCTCTGCCCTGATCCCCCCAGCAACACCCACGCTGCCATCGCACTGCTGCCGACCCCGCGGCCGGCTCTCCTGCCCGGCACTGCCGCGGCCCCAGCAGCAAGCTCGCTCTGGCTCTCGTGCACCATTTCCCAGGGTTTGGACCCCATCCAGTGCCATGGATCTGCCAGGAAGGCAAACGGCCTCGTGCAGCCAGCCCTGACGGCACTGGGGGGAGGATTTCAAGTGCAGAAGGAACAGCAGCAAGGCTCCGTGGAGACAGGAGAGAAACCATCAGCTTTACTTATTACCAGGGGCTGGAAAGTGCTGCACACATGGCTGAAAAGGTGACCAGAAAGTGACAAAGCACTTCATTTTTTCCAGCGAAGTAGAAGAGAGGTGGTCACACTCAGGAGCACCAGGGCAAAACACCTAGTGATAAGAGTCTACGGGCTCCCGGTGTAACACAGCCAGGGATTTTCCTCCTGGGCAAACAGATAACACGTGATATTAAATGAAAACCACATAAAACTTGTTACATAGAATAGAGTATATTGCTCATTTACTGCTAAATTACAGCCTATTAATTTCCTCCTAAGCAGGCTATTAAGCCTTGTTGTGTCACATGAAGAGTGTTTCGGAAGTGTTATCACCGTGCAGTGGGGGAAAGGGTGCGTTGGCTTGTTATGGTTTCTTCAGAGGTAATTACAGGGTCACACTGATCCCCAGTATCAGTGCCCTGCCCCTGCCGAGTGACACCCGGCTTGAATTCGGCCCTGACTGTTGATTTTTCCACGTGCAGAGCCTGCCAAGGACCTCATTCAGCTACAGAGCATTTGCTGATGCTTCCTTTCCCCAGCACTCGGCCGCTATTTATTTTCCTACAATTAATGCTGCAAGTCTTTTATGACAGCAGGCTTTGCACGCACAGAAATAGTCAGGAAGCGAGAAGTCAGGGCATGTTGCACTTTCTCTGCCATTTTTTTTGCTGACTGCCATCACCAAGAGTTTCTTTGGCCCCTGCTGCAGCCCGGCACCTTATGTCCTGCCGAGCACAGACCCCACATTTGCCCTACAACCGGTGCTGTTCGCAGGGCCACGTACTCACATGAGGGACCAGCCCAGGTAGACGGCTGTGCTGCCCCAGTACATGGGATTATCCAGGACGCTGAAGGGGAAGCTGGTCACTTTTGCCTCCATCAGGATGCCGAAGTAGTCACCTGCAGAGCAAACAGAGGCTTTCTGGTTAGGCTCTGTGAAGCTGGGAGTCGCAGAGGGCTTTGGCACGCTGATACCCTTCCCTGTGCCACGGGGCATCCCTGCCAGGGGCGCAGAGCAAAGGCGAACAAGGGGTTTTGCTGCTGACTTCCAGGCTGAGAAAACAGCAACAAACAGGTCGGCTGTTTACTCTGTGTCTATCAGCTTTTCCTGGAATGGCTCGTTGCCCATGAGGAAGGTTTGTGCATTGCAATGAGACTACGGCAGCCACATCCCTCATCGGGAGGCAGCTCTTGAGGTCCCAAACGGCTGATTCTGGCTTTCTCATTTGAAAACTGCCCGTCTGATGACACTCGATGAGGAAGCAAGTGCATAGGATCAAATCCATTTAATGGGGAAATCAGGCCAGCGCACTGTCATGGTGTTTTGAGATGTTATAATCACGACCGCCACCACCAAATGCCCTCATTCAGTGTCACCCTTATCTCATAGTTCAGAGAATTTCTCAGGATTTCAGAAAATAGCACCTCTGCCTACAAAACACTCAATTAACAGCATGATGATAACAGGTGATTGTCATCTGTAATGAGGAAAGCTTTCAGAACTGTCAGCATCCAACCAGCTTCCAATCTACCTCGGAGTAATCCTTCCGCCCTCCTGAAAGGAGCCTGGAAAAGAAATGACGAGCAAGGAGATGTTGTGCAGCTTGTGAGTGGCGTTTCGGGGAGTGGGGGAGAAAGGGCTGGGATGCCGAGCTCTGATTTCTGCTGGTCTTACTTGCGAGACCACGAAGCCCAGCAAGGATTTTGCTCTGTGTCCACTGTACAAGACGCAGCCTCGATCAGCGAGGAGCGGTGCCGGTCCATCAGCTCAGGGAGCTGCCACAGCCCTGGGTTGCGTTCCCAGCTCTGCTGCCAGCCCGTTCCCTGACCTTGGGCAAGTCTCCTCCGTCCCTCCCGGTGCTATTGTGCACCGATCATAACATCAGTCTTTCTTAGAGCGCAGAGGGTGGTGAGGATTAATGTATGGTGAGAAAGTGCTCGGAAATCCAGATAAAAGGCATTACAGGAGTGCAAACTATTCAAGGTTGTTATTATTACCTGGATCGTAGTATAATTTCTTTGACCTCACATGGTGCAAAAACGTTTATTTCTAAGGATAAACAGCACCTGCCCAATTAGACAATGCTTTTGGGCTTTAACTACAGGCCACTAAGTGAGATAATTGCCTGGTATTCATGCTATATGTTCTCACAGTTACTTGGCAATGCATCTCTGAGATTGTTCTGGTAGAAAGAACACATCACCCCCCACCACAGCCCATTTCTGTGCTTTCTTATGTATCAAAACGCTTCATTATACCCTGCCCGCCCTCGCCTTCGGGCTGCACGCCTCGCTCCCCAAACGGCGCTGGCACCGGGGAGGTTCGCACAAAGCCCTGGGTCCGTGGAGCTGGCAGGGGTGCTGAGCCTGGCACCGGTGCTGAGCCTGGCACCGGTGCGGCTGCAGGACCCTGCGGGCAGGCTCCCTGCAAGCAAGAGCACGCAGCAGCTGCGGGGAGCAGGCAGCTCCCCCAGGACACAAGCTTTTCCGACGTAAACCCTGCCTGTAAGTCCGCACAGTTAAATGAACATGAGCACCAGAGAGGACCCGCAATATTTTTATATTCAGGCAGGTGCTAAGGGAAAGGACCGTGCATTGGTTTGCACAGCACCAGCCTGGGCATCTCCCGTGCCTCCAGTAAGCCCTCAAATCGGGAATCAGCGCCTTGTCAGGCTGGGGGACTTTGGCATCTAATTTGGGTTATTTTTTGCTGGAGGTCAGCGTAACCATCTCGCTGCACAGGGTAGACACTTTGGATCCCAGCAGCAAAAAGCCATTTGATGCGCTCCACAAGGTCCCCCACGGTCCCTGGAGCCCAACCTGGGCTGAAGCACCACTTCCAGAGAGCCGCCGGTTTCACCATAGCCCGGTAACAGACTGCGGTCAAGTCAGATTTACTTGAAATCTTGGTCAGCGCCGGAAGGAACCGCGCTCGGGTGCAGGACAGATGGGCTCAGACAGGCAGAGTCGCCTCTTGGTGCCCTCGGCCTCCGGGAAGCCAAGTCCTCATTACTGCGCTCGTCAGGAAATAGGGCAAACGGCGAGGCGGACGGCGCTGAACTGATGCCCGAATCCCTGCAAGGACACGGTGCGGAGACAGGGTGCCGGGAGGATTGCTCTGCAGGGGAGAAGGCTGCTGGGGCGAGGGGCCGCATCCAGCCGCTGCAAACAGAGGCTGGGGTGGGTGCTGCGGTGCGGGAGATGGGGTGGCACGGAAAGGCTTGTTGCAGAAGCGTGACTCCCGTGGCTCCCACTGCACCGTTTAACCCACACTTGAGAAACAAAGTGCTCTGCAGCCGCTCCAAAGCTTAAACGTGCGGTTAAAGAAGAATCTAATGGGCAGTCCCGATGCAGTCTCTGTGCCCTGCCTGGTTCAGCCCTCACTGCTGTAGGAAAACCCAAAAGGGAAGGCTCAAATGCTGTTCCAGTAAAGTTTTTGCTTGGGTGTCAGAGGCTCTCTCAAAACTTCTCTTGAGCTAAGGTATCAAATGCAAGAAGCTGGATGCCTCCTTCTTGCCAAAGCAGGGCAGGCCTTTGCTACCTGCAGTCAGAAATGCTGAAAACCCTGCTCCTCCTGCATCACTAAAACCCTGCATGCAGGAGGACGTTGGAAGTACGAGTCCCAAGTGAGTCCTGAGCAAGAGAACATCCCACGTGAGATCCTCAGAGACCTGCAGACCCCTCGTCTTCCCCACGGCTGGGTAAGAAACCACGCTGAACAGCATTCTCCATTAAGAGTTTGCTGACTTGGACTCGTTGGGGCTTGCATGGCGCCGAGAAGCCGCTATCGGTCCAAGGATGGATGCTCCGTGGGGCTCCAGCTGGGCCATACCCCCACGGCACAGAGGTCCTAAGCCAGCCCGGCTGCACCAGCACATGGTCTTGGCATCTCCCCACCCTGACTCAGCTCTACCCCGGCGCCCGTCATGCCCCAGCTAGCAGCGGGCTGGCCTCGCTCCCTGCTGCGTCACGCAAGGCTTGGAGCCGTGCAGCCTCAGCCCGCTGCGCCGGTGGCAGAGAGCCTCTGCCGGCAGAAGCGCCCGATACGGGCGGCTAACGCCTGCCTCTTCCCTGCCCTGGGGGATACGGGAGCCACCGGCCATGCAGAGCAGAGGGGGAGAGGGCCGCTCTCGCCGCTTACGCTGAGCCTGACTCACTTGTTTGCTTTTCCCCAGCGGTTCGAGTCCAGTGGATCCTCCTGGTGGGATGAATCAGGCTTTACGTAAACAACCCCAGACCTGGCCGAACTTCAGGAGCATTCAAGCAGCTCTTGCTGCAGGGTACCCCTGTGCCCGGCCTCTCTGGACATGTCTCCGCAGGCACAGCAATGCTCCTGAGGGCTGCGGGTGATTTTGGAGGATGCCGGTGCCTGGTAGCTGGGACAGGGGTGTGACACGGAGATGGGAGCGGAACCGCACAGATGAAGGGTGTGGGGACACATTCAGGAGTGCTGAGCTCTATTTCTGGCGGCAGGATCTTGGCCAACTCAACACATTTCTTTGCAACTCCACTTGAAACCAGGAAGGCTTATTACCTCCCTCTCTTCTTCCTGGCGACGCCGCAGGAGCTAATTGAATTTGGTTTGTAAAGCACTTGCAAAAGCACAGCCTAAATGCAGTGTCAGAGCTGGGGCTGTGATTATTTCAGCCAGCGGGAGCTGCCCCTTTCCGTAGATATTTATTGTTCCCATCTCTATTTTATTTTTATGAATTCCACACATACTGGCATGTTTTTAAAGTCAACAACGCTAATAGAATTACTCTCTAAATGTGAAAGCAGGCACAGTGGAAAATGCCTTCTGCCATAAAGCACCAGATAAAAGAATCTGTCAACAAATGTCAGGTTTATTGCAGAGGGAAGAGCAAATGCGATCTTGCCTCAGCACGCGGGTCGAGCGGGTGGGGGCTCGGAGCAAGGCTGCCGGACAGCTCGCACCCGCTGTGCCGGCGCCGATCTGCTCACGTGGTCTACGCTTGGGGTCCCTTTTCTGGAGGACATTTGGACTGTCAGATGATCAGCTGCTTTCCAAAATTTCAGGCTTGACACCGAAGGCGATGGGACTCAGCGTATAAAACCACTGCACCATCTTCTCCGCGTGAGGTAACGGCATGGTTAGATCACGCTTTGGCATCATAAAGCCAAGACCAAATCTAACAGCCCTGAAGGCAAGAGTGAGGAAACTCTTACAGGACTCTGCCCTAGCAAAAGACCCCTGCAAGGATTAAATGCACTTTCTGGTTAAGCTGTTGAATTTTTAGTACTTACCTAGGAAGGTTCCAGTGAATCCCAGTGCTAAGAAGCTGGAGATGACAAACAAGGTCCCTACAGCCAAGACGGCCAAGCCCGAGTAATAGGCCCAGTGGCAGTCCAAGCCCTCCAGCTTCGGCTGGCTCTTCATGGCTTCTGTGAAGCTGTCGGAGAGACAAGAAGGGCTGTTAAAAGCGGCGACTCGTTACTAACATCACCCACCTCTCCCCAGGAGATGCGGAGCTTTGGGAGAGGATGCTGCTGAGGAGGACTCTTCACTGGGTCCCTTTTTCCACCTGGACCTACTCAACCTCCCAACGGGAGAAGCAAGGAGCTGAAGCCTTGTGAGCAGCCAGGGCTTGACCTGAGGCAGCTATTTCTACTTGTAACCCTTGCCCATTCCTGGAAATACCAAACCCCACCGAACTGCAATATGAAAAGCTTTGCCCTGCTCACCAAACCCCAAGTTTCATCGTGACCGGGAGCTCTGGGAAAAGACACCGTTGCAAATTGCTGGAGGCTGCGATGCCTCGGCACAAGACTTGAAGGGTTGGGAACGATCGGCTGGGTTATCTCGCGCTCCCACCCCCGTTCCTCTCCATCAAAATATTTTGCAGCGTTCATGTGTTAGCCACGTGCCCAGGAGTGATTCACAGCTGAAGCCTGACAGTCAGGGGGAGGACTGGAACGGCGAAAGGAAAATACTAGAGACACACATTTTCAAGTGAGAACACAGCTTCTCAGCTCCAGGCTTGTTCAGGCGTTTCAGGTCTGACCTTCCAAACATTCGTTTGTCAGTGGAATAATTGTGACCCCTCCCTTCAGCCCCTTGAACTTTGCCTGGAGCAGGGCTTGGCAGGCTCAGCACCTCACATATCTCTGATACAAACGCATGACTACAATGGAGACAACACCGTGATGAAAAAAATGCCCATTAATAATAGCGAGAGGAGATAACAGACCCACAGAGCCGTACAGTGTTTCTCCACACGTTGCTGACACATGAGGTAGGAAACTTGGAGCCTTTTTTTAATGAGCACCCTGGAGGCTGAAATTCAAGTGCAGTAACAGCTCTCCCATGCCTCCGGCCGCCGCTGCCTGCCAGAGCTGCTCCTGCCCGCGCTCCCGGGCTCCTTGGCTGCAAAGTACTTCCATGACGTTGCCTGCAGGGCTTGGGATAGTTTTCTTTCCACCGGTGTCCAGCTTTCCCAAGCCCTGCAAATCCCTGGATTTTCTCTGTTGCCCAAATGAAAGCTGAGAAAGACAATCCTGCCTGGCCGGCTGATGGACAAGCAGCTGGAAACGCACCTTTCGAAGGCTCAAAGACCAGATGGCAAGTTACATGCACCAAGCAAAGTCCAGGATGATATTTAAACCCCATGGTTTAGGGACCTGGATGGTATTTTTTGTTTTCCTTGCAGCTCACTCCTACTAGGTTTTCTACTGTTGGGGAGTTTTTAGGACCCCAGAGCAAGCCATTCAATCTTCCCTTTGGACTGGAGCAAGGAAACAAAACACAGAATGAATGTAACATGCTCGGGAGTGAGGAAGAACACAGCATCTTGGTGATCTACACTCTGCCCCCCACGATGGAAATTACAGGGAAAAATTCCCTTTTCCAGGGAGCTGAGCAGAGGCAGAGGAACGACAGCATGGTCCCGGGCGAGGTAACGGCACAAGTCCCCGGCGCTGGCCCTCCTCCAGCGCCCAGCACACCTCCCTGCGCCCACCAGGCTCACGTGGGTTTAGCTTAAAATCATTACTGATGGGAACGCACAAATCTGGCTGCAACGCGAAGCAGCAGCGGCCGCACAAGCCTTTGCATCATTTCTCTGGTATTTATTTTTAAATGACACAAATCTCCCCTATGAGGAAGGCCAAATCTGCATCCCTGCTACCAGCGCTGCCTGGGTTTGGGAGGAAAGCAATCCCCCCGCGGGGACAGGCACATCTGCCTGAGCAATCCTGGCCTGGCCGGGCTCTCACAGCACAATGTGACATCCCCGGGGAGCTCTTTGCTCCCGCAGAGGAAGACGCGTTGGGGGTTTGATTCCACATCTGGCCAGGATCTCTCCACAAGGCACCAGCACCGGGAAGGGATCTCACAGCAATCAAAAAGCGCTGCTGCTGATCCCTGGGGAGGCAGGTCTGGGAGAGCAGCAGCGAGCTGGCCCCTGCCTGGATCCCAGCCCCCAGCAAGGAGACAGGAGAGCAGAGGGAGGTATAGCTGGAGCACAGCGCTCGGAGGCTGCTTCTCGCTCCAGATAAACTGGATCCACGCTGTCTTACGTCCTTGAGGCTCCTCTATCCTATGCTAGTGACCCGACTTGGCCTCGGAGCAGGAAGAACAAAGGTGGCTTCAAGAGTGTGAACTGCTTGACTGCGAATCAGCCTCCCAGGTTTTGCAGCCAGCACGTGACGTGGTTTGTTTTGGCAACGCTGTCTCCCCTGCTCCAGATGATCGCATCCTTCCTTTTCATGGTCAGATAGGCCTGCATTAGTTACCCTCATCAGCGTGTCTTGCTCGGTCCCCTGCTGTTTGCCTTACAGCTAGAGAGGGAGGTGTTTGCATGGAGATAATGGACTGCCTTTCCCTCTAGTAATGTTTTATATCTTCCTAAACACACTCTCTATTTGCATTAAACATGATGCACACAGGAGTTTTCAGAATTGGTAAATAAACCTTTTAAGCATTTATGATGCTGGGCCATGACAAGCAGCACGGAGTCGTCAATTATTCCGGCATCCGTGACTGCTCCTCGGTGGCAGGGGAGCCTCACCGCGCCGCGTTTCACCCTCCCTGGCAGGGGGAGGACAAGGTGTTGGCCATCTCCCTTGCTAGGGGAGCTAGTCATGCAGCCGATCTGTCATGAAACCAGTCCCTTTCACCATGTGCCTCTGAGTCACGTTTGTTACTGCATTTATTTCTGGCTGCACGACAAGGCAGCGGCCCAGCTCGGTACCCAAGAGGACACCAATTAAAGCCACACTTTGTCCCAGTACCTGGAAATGCTTTATGTGCTGAGCAGAGCGATTGCCATGGTGAGGAGCATCCTTCTTACCAGCGCAGGGGAGGGGTGGGTGGGCTGCGACCTACTTTAATCACATACCCGGCTGCTATCACGAGGATGTCTGCCGTCAGCGGGGGGCCTGGAAGGTGCCCCCAGCTTTGGCAAACAGAAATTGGGAAGATGGGGCTTCCCCTGACATCTCCCCACACTTGCCAGCGTGAACATGATACCAGAGGCACCCGTTCGCCACCCCAGCAGTGAAAAACACAAATCCATCAGCTCCGCTGTGGCCAAATTAGCAGATTTGGCCAACTCCTTGGCAGGGGGCAAGCAGCCGCGGCGGTCTGCTGCACAACTGCTGCCGCACAACTGCTGCTGCACAACTGCCACAGCGTGCCGCAGGGTTCTGCATGGGGAAGCCAAAGCAGCGGGCGTTGTTCTGCCCACCCTTCCCAAATCAGAGACGCGCTTGCTCAGACCCTCAGCTGTTGCTGCACGCGTGCCACTGCTTTGTGGGAATCATGGAACGCTTTGGGTTGGAAAGGACCTTTAAGGGCCATCCAGTCCAACCCCCCTGCAACGAGCAGGGACATCTTCAACTCGACCAGATTGCCTAGAGCCCCGTCCAACCTGACCTTGAACGTTCCCAGGGATGGGGCATCTACCAGCTCTCTGGGCAACCTGCGCCAGTGTTTCACCACCCTCAGCATAAGAAGCTTCCTCCTTATATCTAGTCTGAACCTACCCTCTTTTAGTACCACATAATAATCCACATGAACTGGAAAAAAACACTCAAAATGGTACCAAAGCATGGGGATGGAGATGTCACGTGGGTGGGCTTGCAGGAAGAAAGTGGAAGCGAGGGATATGGGCTGCAGATCCTCTCGCTGGGACGCAGAGGGACGCGGGGCCAGGTTTGCACAAACAGGCGCTGATTCATCCAACCAGAGAACGGCGATTGCAACACCAGAAAACTTATCAAACCCGCAGCCCAAAACACATCCCCAAAGGCCGCATGGAGCATGAAGCAAACCTGGAAATGCCACACTAAGAGAGAAGCTGAGCTTTTTAGGTCTCTGGGCCTCTCCTGGTAGCCCACAGCGAGCAGATTTTGTAATCCCTTTCTTGCAAAGGAGGGCAAAGACCACGTCCAGCAAACTGGGTCGCTGCTGAGAGCAGCCCAGCAAGTGCTCCCTTTGCCTGGTCCCAAAAAACAGCCTGGAAACTGGGGCTGGCAAATGCAATTGGGGCAGAATTGGGCCAGGGGCCAGCAGGCAGCAAGGACACGGCGGCAGCGCACGCGGCCAGGGTTTC